CTGTAGCACGATGTACAGCCAAAACTGTGATTAAGATTTTATTAGAAGAAATTATTCCAAGGTACGGTACTGTGGCAGTGGTGGATTCGGATAGAGGACCACACTTTATCTCTAAAATAATTAAACAGACAACAGAGCTTTTTGGAACCAAGTGGGAATACCATACTCCTTGGCATCCACAAAGTTCTGGTAAAGTGGAAAGAATGAATGGTGAAATAAAGAAACATTTGACTAAATTAATGATAGAAACCAAAATGAATTGGGTAAAGTGTTTACTATTAACCTTATTATATATCCGAACCCAACCACGCACTGACATGGGGATTTCACCATTTGAAATGATGTACGGGATGCCATATGATTTTGGAATCCCAATAGAAAATGCAAAGGTATGTCATAGTTTGAAATTGGCCCCCCTGAGAGGCTGGGGGGACTCAGAGGTGATTGGGTGCCAGGGCAGTGTTCCCTGGAGGGCCAATCACCATCCATGTTGTTCACTTCTGCTCAAAATCATATATCACAACACCGGAAGCTGCTGGCAGTTCTGTCTTGGTTGTTTTGCTGTTGTTGTCTGCTGCATGTAGGTGGACAAGGCCAGGGTGTGACTGGGCTCCCTCTCTTCCCCTCCGGGAGGGAGAGGGGAGCCCTGCAATCCCCCAACTCAACCTTTGGTTAGAGTTAGAGTCAGCATTTGGAGTGTGTGCTGTGAAAGAAGAATTTCAGAGCACCTGAGGTAAGAGGGAGGAGGTTAGGCCTTCTTTCCCCCCCCTGCAGCTCCGGGATGCTTGGGACAGTGCATAACTGAACCGAGCTGCCTGTGGTCAAGGCTAGGGGGCTTTTTTTCCCCCACACTGCATTTAGGCTGGTGGGGAGTGGATTTTAAGGCTCAACATTTGAGCAGAGCTAAGTGGACGGGCTGATAAATCAGCTCGGTGCTCGGGAGAAGAATCCCAGGCGAAATTGGAGGCAAGCCAAGAGTTCAGGAGTTGCCTGCCAAAGCTGACCGGGGGCAGCCGAGAACTGACGTGGAGGAATGAAGATTCCAGGACGTGTACGCTTGATAAGCTACACTGCAGCAACCTACGAACCGAGGTGAGACACCGAGAGGGAGAAATCACCAGCAGCAGAAGAACAAGGACTCAAAACTATATTCTTGGACTTCGTGAGGAGAGAAACTACAACAAACAACTGGAACTTGGTGAGGGGGGAGTGTTCAGGAGCCCAGAACACTCCCACAGCAAAAGACTGTGTTACGTATCAACCTTGAAAAGCTACTCCTGGACTAAAGTTAAAGGAGGGGTTTGAAAGGACTGACTGATTGTTATAGATTAGGAATGCAGGGGAATTTTTTCTTCCCCTGCCCCACTCCAAGGGAAAATGGAGTGAGCAGGGGGGGAAGGGAGGTCATTAACTTTACAAAGGATGTACCCTGGCTCTGCTGATGGGCCATTTAGAGAGGCTGGAGAGAGAGGAGGGGGTTGGTTCTGTTCTGGGGGGGAGAGGGGCAGACTGGTTGTTGGCTGTTCGGGGAGGAGCTGGGGGGACCTGGAGACCGTGGAGGTTTTTTTATGTCTGGAAGACGAGGACGGGGTCTGCACCCAGGGCATTTAGGAGAGAGGACCTGGAAGCCGGTTTGCCCTGGTTTTCCCATCCCAGTCAGCTCGGACTGCTGGCTCCAACTGGCCCAGCTACCTCGCTCTTCAGATCTGCTGTGTTTTGTTGGAGAATTGCGTTGCCCGCGGGAGAGAAGGGAGGAGTTTTGAGATGCCGTCACTTGGAACAGTGGTGAGTCCCGTGGGAGTGAGCTGCCTTCCTCCCCTTTCTTCTCCATTGAGGGAAGGACCCCCCATTTCCTTCTCGGCCCCTCCCATGGGCCAGGACCTCTCCCGCTGGACCCCTTCTTTCCACGTGGCGACCGCCGGAGCCCAACAGCGCCCCCTGCTGACCGCGACCGAGAACTGCAGGCTCTACACTTTCAACGATCCAACAGCACCCCCTGCAGGCAACAATTAAGACTGCACTACAGGACAGAGAAGTATTTCCTTCAGACTTTTTTTGGTTTTTTTTCTAGGACTACTGTCTAGGTTTTTTGTGTTCTGTTACTGTGTTTTCTGCTAACATACATATATCTTTTAATAAAGGGTTGTTATTTCTTCTGTTTTTCCACATTTTCCTCAAGTAAAGCCCCTTAATTTTGATATTACAAGTGCTGAGAGAGAGGAGTTTGGTCTACCTCAGAACTCATCCTCTCTAGCAAACAGTCTAGTCTCATCAGACTGAGACATTTTTGGCGCCCAATGTGAGGCCTGGAAAGAGGAAAGGTGGAAAAAGAATAACTACCCTTTTTGTGAGTTACACGCATTTTGAACCCCTTGTGTGATTAACACGCATTTTGAACTTGTAGGTACCATGATGTTAGGGGTTGTTGCTTTCCTCTGGCATATAACCATGCCAAGATATCTGCCCCACCTGTCAATGTGTTTCAGTTCAGATACTAGTACTCTCATTGTGATAAGTACCTTTGAGTTTGTGCATTGGGTATATGACACGGCAAACTCAGCACCTGTGATTTTCATCCGGAATATGTCCTCAAGGATGCACTACTGCTCTAACCTAAACTGTTTCCTCTGGGGTTTTAAAGATAATAGCACCCATTCCTATGGAGAAACACAGGGGAATGCATGCGCCCAACCCTTTATTCAGTTCCATTTTGGATACAATACAATGGCCTCTGTAGTGGTTTGAACCAGGTTTTCCCCCTGCAGTTATAAAATGGTAAAACCCCAGGGGGGTGGTAACCCTTGAAGTTTTGAAGTTTTAGCCAATGAGTGCTTCTGCAAAATATAAACATATCACAACCAAACGGAAGAGAAGGGAAGTTGTAGTTAGGGGTGTTGAAGTGGTAGCCATGTTGTAAGACCACGAGGAAGGGGGCTCGGAGCCCCTTGGGGCCTCTGGGGCCCACCCAGCCTCAGCTGGGGGCTACAGAGACTTGGAACAGTGTTAAGCTGGACTAAGTGTCTGTAGCTGAACCTGGAGATGTTTCTTCACTGTGAGCAGCAGTAGCAGCGGTAGAACTGCGCTGACCGAAGAAACGGTGGCAGAGAGCCAAGAGAGATAAGACCAGCAGCAACAACTGGAGAAGTAGCAGAAACAGCATGCAACTGAGTAAGGAAGACACCGAGTTGTCTCAGAAAGCCGAGAGAGCAGCAGGGAGAGAGGAAGATGGGGTAAGAACTGGAATAAAACCCCATACCCCTCTGAGACCTCCGAGAAAGGAGGGAGATGGACTCCTGTTAAAGAGGAGAGTCTTTGAGTGTTGCAGCACCGGAGAGAGAGAGGAGCTGAGAAGCTCAGAGTGTCCTGGAAAACTGGACCGGGACGGAGAAGGAATGCGGGGGGGGTTGACCTTGACCCCCCCTCGCTGATGCTGCCATGCTGGCAATTTGAGACAGAGCACAGAAGCTCTACAAGGGACTGAGTCCCCTGAAGATACTAGACCGTCACGAAGACCCCCTGACCGTGGTGATAGTGACCTTTGTCTGGGGTGAACGCAGCCCACGGAAGACCCTTCACCTGCTTCGAGAGGCCGCGAGGGGCTTAGATTTCCCCCTCATGTGTACTGGCAGAGATCCAACTATCAGCTGCTGCAAGAAAAGAAGAGAGAGCCTGCTGCCTTAGAGACATTGCTGCTTCTGAGACTGGAAAGGATCTTTCCTTCTTCCCTCCTGGACTTTTATTTGGGGGGAGGAGAGATTTGATCCATTGTAAATACTTATGTCATGGTAGGGATAGCTAATATTGTATATAATGTATTGTAGTATTTATTTATGTGTACAGTCATTGTAATATATTCCCTTTTCCCCACTCTGAGTCTGGTGTGTTTGTCTGGAAAAAACACATCTTACACTAAGTTGAGATGTGGGAGGGGGGATGGAGCTAGGGAATTAGATTTTGGAGATCTCAAACCATGACAGAAGTTTAAATCCTTTTTAGACGTCAGAGACGTTTCAATTGTTGGGCTTGTCATCCCAGTTTGTGCCATTATAGTATACCTGATATATGAAGCCAAGGCCAAGAATTACCGAGAAGGTGTCCAGGAGCCTGCCCCAGGGGTGGAAAACCTCGAGTGGCATGGGTTATGGGAGGACATGGGTAAATTCTTAGAAAGTTGCTCAGCTCCCATAACATGGAAGCTCACCCTTGAACAACTCTTGAACCCTACAAAAATAATGAAAGTCGTGAGGGAGAGACATCGTGATGGATCCATGGAGAGGTAGTTGGCAGTTGCATGTGGGGCTTTGGCCACTGCCTACAGGAAGTTGCTCGCTATGGTGCAGCACTTCCAGGGGAAATTAAAGGATGAAAACAAAATGCCTAATACCAAGGTGACTCAGGATAAGGCCAAAGCAAAGGGGCAAACCAAGTCAACGGAGGTTGCCCCCATCCAAAGGAAAAAATATAAAACCAAATCAGTTCGCCCAGTTGATGATGATGGGGAGGCAGGATCCTCACAGGCGGCTGCTCCAGAGCCAGAAATCATCACTGAGTCTTTATCATATAACAACCTCCGGAACTTACGGACAGACGTTGCTCGTCGACTGAATGAGCCCATTCTGGCCTGGATGATCCGAGTTTGGGACTCTACAGGTGATGCCGTAAACCTTGATGGCGGTGAAGAAAGGTTCTTGAGGTCCATTGCCCAGGATGTGGGTATTGAGGAGGCATTTGTGAGGGAATCGAAGTCCCTGTCTCTCTGGGCACGGCTTTTGGACGGTGTGAGGGAGAGGTTCATTTACAGAGATTCCTTGCAGGTAGATCATTATACCATGGGCTGGAAGACCATAGAAGAAGGAATCCTACGGCTGAGGGAAATGGCACTGTTGGAAGTATTGTTTGGAGGGGATGGGCAACCCACCAACGATCCTGACAAGGTTAAGCGTACACCACAGATGTGGTGGAGCTTCACACGTACGGGGTCGTCCACAAATAAAGGTTACCTGACATCATTGCAGGCTGGGGAGAAGTGGGAGCCAGTGATGTCTGTAATAAATAAACTTCGGTTGTACGACAGTATGATCGAAGGACCACTACAGGCCCGCATCTCCTCTGTCGAGACAATGATTAACGAGTGTCTGTCGGGGTCCGAAAGGGAGACAGGACACGAGGAAGGGTGCAAGTAGACTTCTTTATTCAGGCGTGCGCCCGATTCTTAAGTGTCCCACCAGGGAAAAAGGGGCAGAACAGAGGGTGGACTATCAGACAGACAAACGGGGGAGCAAATCAGAACAGGGCACAGGCAAAAGGCGGAGGAGGAAGCCTGGGCATGTGCAGTTGTGCACTGTGTAGCATGGATACAGTGAAACCACATAATAACAGTAAAGTCCATATGAAAGTCCTGCCAATTGCTGTATGCTTTTCTCCATGCCTGGAACTGTTCCCATCCTGAATCTTGCTTCTCTACAAGTGTCCTAGTTAGAACAGTTGGGACCGATTCATCACTGAATGGGGTAGCCCAAAACTGTGTATTCTATAGCCCTCCATGCCATTTCCCAGAAACTGTTGTCAGTAGAGGCCTGCGAGGTGGGGGGATGTTCCTGTCCTCATGCCCTTTTGTGGAATTCCCTGACTGAGCACCCTTACACCCTTTTATGGAATTCCCCACTCTGAGGGAAGGACTGAACATCCTTTTATGGAATTCCCCGCTCTGGGGGAGGGACTGAACATTCCTGCCTGAGTTGGAGAATATATAAACCTGGAGTTTCAGAACCTTACCACCACTCGTGGGATCCAGGGGAGGACTGCAGCTCACCACTCTCAGTCAGACTGCAGCTCACTGCTCTCAGCCGGACTGAGACCACCCCCCTCAGCTGGGTTGCAATCACCACTTTTGGTTGGACTGCAGCAGCTCTCCCACCAGCAGGTTTTTTCCCCTCTCCCTTTGCTTTGGACTTGGGGAGGGCCAGGGAACACCGCTTTGTTTGTGCCCCGGGGTGCTGGTTTGTACATTTGGGTTTTGTGGGTTAGGGTCTGTTGCTTGTCTGTGTGGTCGTACTTACTGTATTATTTTATTAAACTGTTATTCTGACTTGTAATCTCTCTTTTAAGTTGGGTTGGTTTCCCCTGTTGGTTAACTTTTCAACCAGCACAACGGACTCAAGGAATTAACTACAGGGTTGAAAGAGAGGATCGAGAGAAGCAATTTCCATATGGCCCCAGTGAGAACCAGATGCCCCCCAGCTAGAGAGAGCTGACAGACCTCATGAACCGAGCTGTGGTACTTCCTAACTGACCATGGAGAAGATATGAGACGGTGGGACAGGAAACCTACCCATGCCCTAGCAGCCCGAGTACAAGAGTTGAAAGAGAAAGAAAAGGGGAAGTCTGCGAAAGTGAGAGCCGTACCAGTATCCTGCGAGCAGGGGCCTGACCCGCTAGAGGGCACCTCCCGTCAATATTCACAAGAGGAAAACGGTGACTGGCAAGATGAAAACGAATGTTAGAGTGGCCCTGCCTCTAACCAGGTAGAGGCATGGGACAACCATGTCTATTGGACTGTGTGGATCAGATGGTCTGGCATGTCAGACCCACAAGAATACCAGGTTTTGGTTGATACTGGCGCTCAGTGTACGTTAATGCCCTCAGGACATGTGGGACCAGAGACTATTTACATTTCTGGGGTGACTGGAGAGTCTCAGGAGTTGACCATGGTGGAAGCTGAGGTGAGCTTGACCAGGAAAGATTGGCAGAAACACCCCACTGTGACTGGTCCAGATGTCACATGTATCCTGGGCATTGACTATCTCAAAAACGGGTACTTCAAAGACCCCAAGGGACATAGATGGGTTTTTGGAATAGCTGCTGTGGAGACCGAGGCGGCTAAACAGTTGAACTCATTGCCTGATCTCTCGGAGAGCCCTTCGGTCGTAGGGTTGCTGAAAGTCGAGGAACAGCAAGTGCCCATCGCCACCACAATAGTGCATCGCCGGCAGTACCGGACAAACCGAGACTCTGTGATCCCCATCCATAAGATGATCCATGAGCTGTAGAGTCAAGGGGTGATCAGCAAGACCCATTCACCCTTCAACAGTCCCATCTGGCCCGTGTGTAAGTCTAACGGAGTATGGAGACTGACTGTGGACTATCGTGGCCTGAATGAAGCCACCCCACCGCTGAGTGCTGCTGTTCCAGACATGTTGGAGCTCCAGTATGAGTTGGAGTCCAAGACAGCGAGGTGGTACACCACTATTGACATCGCGAACGCATTCTTCTCCATTCCCTTAGCAGCAGAGTGTAGGCCACAGTTCGCTTTCACCTGGAGGGGCGTGCAGTACACTTGGAACCAACTGCCCCAGGGGTGGAAACACAGTCCCACCATCTGCCACGGACTGATCCAGACCACACTAGAGAAGGGTGAGGCTCCAGAACACCTGCAATACATTGATGACATCATCATATGGGGGGACACAGCAGAGGAGGTTTCCAAGAAAGGAAAGAAAATCATCCGAATCCTCCTGGGAGCTGGGTTTACCATAAAGAAGAGTAAGGTTAAGGGACCTGCCCGAGAGATCCAGTTCCTGGGGGTGAAATGGCAAGATGGGTGTCATCAGATCCCAACAGAAGTCATCAATAAGATCACAGCAATGGCCCCACCGAACAGCAAGAAGGAAATGCAAGCTTTTTTGGGTGCCATAGGTTTCTGGAGGATGCATATCCCAGAGTACAGTCAAATCGTAAGTCCTCTCTATCTGGTAACCCGCAAAAAGAATGATTTTCAGTGGGATCCTGAACAGCAACAGGCATTCGAACAGATTAAATGAGAGATTGCACACGCTGTAGCCCTTGGGTCAGTCAGGACAGGGACAGATGTGAAAAATGTACTCTATTCTGCAACTGGGAATAAAGGTCTCTCCTGGAGCCTCTGGCAAAAGGTGCCTGGTGAGACTCGAGGCCGCCCACTTGGGTTCTGGAGCCGAAGCTACAAGGGGATCTGAAACCAACTACACCCCAACAGAGAAGGAGATCCTAGCGGCTTATGAAGGAGTACAAGTTGCCTCAGAGGTGATCTGCACAGAAGAACAGCTGCTCCTGGCACCTCGAATACCAGTGTTGAACTGGATGTTTAAGGGAAAGGCGCCCTCTACACATCATGCCACTGATGCTACATGGAGTAAGTGGATCGCTCTGCTCATGCAGCGTGCCCGTATTGGAAATCTGAATTGCCCTGGGATTCTAGAAGTCATCACAAACTGGTCGGAAAGTGAGAGTTTTGGTCTAGCAGATGAAGAAGAAGAAGAGCAGGTGGTATGGGCTGAGGAAGCCCAAGAATACGATAAACTACCAAAAGAGGAAATGCGCTACGCCCTCTTCACTGACGGTTCCTGTCGCCTTGTAGGAATGAAACGTAAATGGAAAGCAGATGTATGGAGCCCCGCCCGACAAGTTTCATAAGCTACTGAAGGGGAAGGAGAATCGAGCCAATTCGCAGAGTTCAAAGCTGTCCAGTTAGCATTGGACATTGCTGAACGGGAGAAGTGGTCAAAGCTTTACATCTACACTGACTCGTGGATGGTAGTCAATGCTTTGTGGGGATGGTTGGACAGATGGAAGAAGGTCAATTGGGAACGCAGGGGAAAACCCATCTGGGCCGCTGATATGTGGCAAGACATTGCCACCCGGACAGAGAAGTTGATTGTGAGAGTCCGCCATGTAGACACCCATGTGCACAAAGGTCGAGCCAATGAGGAGCATCGCAACAATGAACAGGCAGACCGAGTTGCACAAGGCAAGGTGTCGCAGGTGGACCTGGACTGGCAGTACAAAGGAGAGTTGTTCCTAGCACGGTGGGTCCATGATGCCTCAGGCCATCAGGGCAGAGATGCTACCCATAGATGGGTACGAGATTGAGGGGTGGACTTAACCAAGGACATTATTTCCCAGATTATCCATGACTGTGAGACCTGCGCTGCCATCAAACAGGTTAAGAGACTGAAGTCCCTATGGTATGGTGGACGTTGGAGTAAGTATAGGTATGGGGAGGCCTGGTAAGTTGACTACATCACACTGCCACAAACCCGCCAAGGTAAGCGCTATGTGCTCACCATGGTGGAAGCCACCACTGGATGGCTGGAGACGTATCCGGTGCCTCACGCTACTACCCGAAATACCATCTTGGGCCTTGAAAAGCAAGTCCTGTGGTGACATGGCACCCCAGAGTGCATCGAATCAGATAACGGAACTCATTTCAAGAACAGCTTAGTTGCCACCTGGGCGGAGGAGCATGGCATCAAGTGGGTGTACCACATCCCATATCATGCAGCAGCTGCAGGGAAAGTTGAACGGCATAATGGACTGTTGAAAATCACCCTGAAAGCGTTGGGTGGAGGGACAGACAAGCACTGGGATCAGTATCTAGCAAAGGCTACATGGCTAGTTAACACCAGAGGCTCCATCAACCGAGCCAGCCCTGCCCAATCAGAGTCCCTCCACACCGTGGATGGAGACAAGGTCACAGTGATTCACGAGGGGTATGTTAGGGAAAAAGGTTTGGATTAACCCTGTATTGGGCAAAAGAAAACCCATTCGTGGGTTTGTTTTTGCCCAAGGGACCTTATTCTCGGGTGAACTGGCTGTAACGGTATATTTGCATCTGTATGTAACTCTGTATCTGTATCTGGTTTTGTATATATTAGCAGATGTGTACATAGGTAGAATAATGCATGTACGTATGAGGATCAAAGATTTAATCTGATAAAGTGTCGTAGCATGGGAAAGAAAAATTAGGCGTGGATAATGTTATAGATTAGGAATGCAGGGGAATTTTTTCTTCCCCTGCCCCACTCCAAGGGAAAATGGGGTGAGCAGGGGGGGAAGGGAGGTCATTAGCTTTACAAAGGATGTACCCTGGCTCTGCTGATGGGTCATTTAGAGAGGTTGGAGAGAGAGGAGGGGGTTGGTTCTGTTCTGGGGGTAAGAGGGGCAGACTGGTTGTTGGCTGTTCGGGGAGGAGTTGGGGGGACCTGGAGACCGTGGAGTTTTTTTTTCTGTCTGGAAGATGGGGATGGGGTCTGCACCCAGGGCATTTAGGAGAGAGGACCTGGAAGTCGGTTTGCCCTGGTTTTCCCATCCCGGTCAGCTCGGACTGCTGGCTACCTCGCTCCTCAGATCTGCTGTGTTTTGTTGAATTGCGTTGCCCGCGGGAGAGAAGGGAGGAGTTTTGAGATGCTGTCACTTGGAACAGTGGTGAGTCCCGTGGGAGTGAGCTGCCTTCCTCCCCTTTCTTCTCCATTGAGGGAAGGACCCCCCATTTCCTTCTCGGCCCCTCCCATGGGCCAGGACCGCTCCCGCTGGACCCCTTCTTTCCGCGTGGCGACCGCCGGAGCCCAACAGCGCCCCCTGCTGACCGCAAACGAGAGCTGCAGGTTCTACACTTTCAGCAATTCAACAGCGCTCCCTGCAGGCAACAATTAGGACTGTGCTAAAGGACAGAGAAGTATTTCCTTCAGACTTTTTTTTTTTCTAGGACTACTGTCTAGTTTTTTTGTGTTCTGTTACTGTTTTTTCTGCTAACATACATATATCTTTTAATAAAGGGTTGTTATTTCTTCTGTTTTTCCACATTTTCCTCAAGTAAAGCCCCTTAATTTTGATATTACAAGTGCTGAGAGAGAGGAGTTTGGTCTACCTCAGAACTCATCCTCTCTAGCAAACAGTCCAGTCTCATCAGACTGAGATACTGATAGAAATGTAATATATATATAGTTGCCTTTAGTTTTTACAGTATATTTATTTGTGTAAATAAATGTATATACTTCCCCCTTCCCCTACAGAAGCCTCTAGCCTGAAAGTTTCTCTCCGGTGTTAGGAGAAATTTTTGGGAAGGGGTGGGGGAAGCCTGGAAATTAGATTTTTGGATTTCTAATGTGGCTCAAACTGCCACAGGTAGCAGATACCCTTTTGAGGGAATATATAATTGAATTAATGAGGAGGAGACAGGAATTGAGAAAGAAGGGACTGGTAGCTCAGCGACCCCCGTTAGACATGTCAATACATAAGATTCAACCTGGGGATCAGGTGTTAATTAAAACTTGGAAAGAATCCTCATTAACCCCTTGGTGGGAAGGGCCTTTTTTTGTTCTTCTCACCACAGATACTGCAATTTGTACAGCAGAAAGAGGATGGACTCATGCGTCTCGGGTTAAAGGACCAGTCAACACTCCTGAATGGACTGTAACCTCTCAACCTGGAAATCTCCAAATGAAGTTTAGAAAAACAGGACTGGTTAATGAATCGCTTTGAACGGGACGTAAGACCTAGCCTATACTCCTGGTTTGGAGTACCTCCAGGCCTAACCTTAATAAGAGTTCTATATAGCCATTGGATAAATCCCCTACCAGACCGGGGGAAGTGGATTGTATCAAATTGCTGAAAAAGGGGTAACTCTCCCTTTTTGTTGTGAATATGAAACTGAAATTACTTTGCCAGAAAGACCTGTACGAAAAATACCCTGTATAAAACACCCAGACTCAGGACATCAAAGTTGGGTCAGTTGTAAATGCATATTATGTGGTATAAAGTGGTATTGTGTAGCAAGTAGACGGCATACCCATTGTATGAAATGTCAAGATTTCTTTATTGCTTCTGATGAGCAACTGAGTGTTCTAGAAATTGATAGGTTATTTTGCGGATGGGAATGGTTGGCACCAGAAACCTGGGAAGTCTATAAAAAAGATTGGTACAAAACTTTAGAACAGTGTGCCATTAAATTTGCCTGGAAAACAAATTTAACAACCAGTCAACTTTTAGAAATATTAGAGAAGCATATGGAACAAACAGGTCTTGGGAAATAAAAGAAAAGACTGGGAAGTTGTAAGAATCTACCAAACCCCCATATTCTCCTGAAGAATATTGACTGCTGCCAAGAAGATATTGAAAACCTCGTTGCTCCCTGCAAAGGAGTAGACGGAGGAGGCAGAGCAATAATACGGTGGAGGACGAGACATGGGAAATTGTGTATGGATTGTAGTGCTTTTGTGGCAGCTTCCCCAAAGCAGAGAAA